AGTGGGGCACCACTCCATATGAGCTAGGAGCACCGCAATCGGTTTCCCTTTCGGAAGTGGGAGCTGCTCTTGAGCACTTCCTTGGGTGGCCCTTCCGGCACCACCCAAGTCTATGCTCACTCCCACCCAAGGCCCCTCGGCCCCAGTCTCAACCTCAAGTCAGTTTAGAAGCACCACTGGAGAGTTCCTTCAAGACCCGACTTCGGACTCGGTCTCGGACTCGATCTTGAACTCGATCTCGGACCCAATCTCGGACTCAACCTCGGACTCGGTCTCGGACCCGATTTGGATCTCGGACTTTGTCTCAAACTCGGTCTCGAACTCTGTCTCCGATTCGGCCTCGAACTCGATCTCGGACTCTATCTCGAACACGGTCTCAAAGTCGGTCTTGGACTTGATCTTCGACTCGGTCCCATCTGATGAACTCTTTGTCATTTTGGTCAAGCTTTCGGGGATCCTTTAACCTACGGCACCTCGGGGAGTTGGTTCCTTACAACTCCACCACCCATAGAAGAAGTTCGATGCCCACATCAAACGTCTCTTTTTATCCTACGACTTGTTGACCATGTCTCCGGGGGCATTTCCCCATTTAGCGGTGTGCCTAAGTTAGCCTCCCCGGCCAAGAGCCCATGACAACGGAACATAGGTGTCCCTATACCCCTCACCCCACCACGCCCTAGTATGGGGTTGGGACTTGAACCCAGCCTTGCTTTACTAGGGGGTTGGGACTTGAACCCAACCTCCATAGAATATGTTTACGGATTTTACATCCCCGTGGGGAGTCGAGTGTAGTTCTTTATGCCTAGTCAACCTAGCTAACCTATGCTAATTAGCTTACCTTCGGCATTCCTTCGGGTCCTAACATATGCCATTGCTCAACTTCACAAATTGATATTTTAATTGAACTTTGCATAAGTACATAGAGTTTTGCCTTGCAGAAATTCCTCCACTAAATTTCACGCGTTAGCTAGGTTCTCTTTCGGTTCCCATGTTGCTTCGAAGTGTGGAAATCCTTTCCACTTCACATGGAACTCTCTCACCTCGCGTCCTTGTTGCTTGCTCTTATGCGCATTGAGGATGGCCTCGACTTCGTATTCCTCTTCCCTTTGGATAACCTCAGGTAAAAGTCTTACTTGGTTCTTGCGAAGCAGATCCTCAAAGTATGACTTGAGTATGTTCACATGGAACACTAGGTGCATCTTCCCCATCTCTCGAGGAAGTCGGAGATAGTAAGCCACTTTACCGATTCGTGCCTCAATCTCGAAAGGCCCTACGAACCTACTTAAGGAACTCAAGATTAATTCATTTACAGGAATACATGCATTTTTACCTTTGGGTCAACTTCCGGCTGATCCCACTTGGTAGCCTAAGGTTCTTGGTGTTCAACCACACCTTCTCCCTAGCTTGGAACTCTACATCCCGACACTTCTTGTTCGCATACTTGTTTTGCCTTTGTTGAGCCCGTTCCAAGGAATCCCTCACTAGATTCCAGATGTTGAGTCTTTCCGCCGTGAATGCCTCCACTGCGGGTAACTCTCCATGATACTCGGCCACGCCGAGTTCCACAGGACCTTCAATAGCTCGCCCATTGATGACTTCCCATGGACTCACCCCGATACTCGAATGTGGTGAGTTGTTATAACACATTTCCTCAAGTCCTAAATGACTTACCCAATCAGTCTAGTCTCCCAAGACATAGCATCGCATTGCAAAGCACCCATGTCAATAAGGATTTTAACAAAGCTACCTTCGAGCTTCCCTTGAAGGGCTAGTAGATGTCGCGAACGACTCTTTACCAAAGTTGCTCGTATAATGAGTAACTTTGAGCTAGGGACTGGATCACATACCTCAATTTGGATTTCACCTGACTTAATGGCCATATTGACTCTGGCCTTCTTTAGGTAGGGACATTCCCTCAAAAAATGTCCCACTTCACCGTAGTTGTAGCATATATTGTTTCCCACGCTGTTAAACGACTTGACCTTCTTATCCGTGGGTTTGTCTCTTTTTGCTTGACTCCCCCACGTACTCACTCACTAGCCACCGGATTTGTCTTTTCGGAACCCCGAAGATTCATTCTTAAAGAAACTCTTCTTGAATTTCCCTTTGCTATATGTTCCCCTTGGTTTGGCCCCTTTGCTAAATGTGGACCCCGACCCCATCGTATTCCCCTTTCACAGGTTATCGTTGAAATGCACCTTGATAGCCGCATCTAATGCTTCTTTGTAATTTGTTGGGTTCTAACGCATCACCTCACCGCGAGCCCAGGTTTGCAAGCCTGATATGAAGACATAGAACACATCCATATCACCCATATTCGTGACCAGTATCCTCTTTGCCATAAATCCATTCACATACTCTTGAATGGTTTTGGTCTACTTCAGCCTACTTAGCTCATCCCTTAGGTGCAGAGTAACATTCGAAGGAACATATATTACGCAGATCCTCACCTTCATCATTTCTCAAGTGGCCACCAATCCTTTGTTGGCCTTTGTCGTTCTCCACCAAGACTTGGCATTATCTACCAAGTATGGTTTTGCACATGGGACCTTCTCCGAGCTCGGTAACTGCAACTCTCGGAAGTAGTCCTCTATATCATAAAACCAATCCTCCACCACCTTATAGTCATTCACTCCCTTGAACACTGGTGGGGGCTTTAGTTTGTATTTGGGAACTGCCTGAGGGACTGATTCCACTTTGGTCTGTTTGACCTTGTTTGGTTCTGCCTCAATCCCTACTAAAGGGTCTGCACCTTTTGCGCTACTAGCATCCGCAGTCTTTCGCTTTTTCTTCCACTTCTCATCACGCTTTAGCTTGCATACGAGAGTCTCCAACTATGCCAATTGTCCTTCTAGAACATCCAATCGAGCCTTGGACAACCGAACCTCACCACCGGACTCCTATTTGAAAGTTTCCTCACTGGAGTCCTCCTCATGCAAGGATTCCTCATCCATAGCCTTTTGTTCGACTGAAGGCTCCAGCTCCGGCGAAGGTTCTGTCTCCGCCTGGGTTCGCTTGCACCCTACATTTGCCATCTCCCAGCAATTCGCCTCTATCCTTCACTAGAACTGAGAAAAAGGCTTTGATACCAAATTTTAAGCCATAAATTTTTCCTTTCCAATTTGCCAGCTTATCTCGTCTATCCGACCAACACTACCTTGGCTTTTGCTAAGTTCCCTCGCCAAAGTTCTCGCCTATTGTACTAGCTCCTACTTGGTCCTACTTAGTTTCAGCTACTCACTGCACAAGCAATGGAGCATTAGCCATCCATTCACGGATTCCCAAATCTCTCCCAATCCCCCTCCCCGAGTTAAATTGGACTTAAGGTTCGGCTACACTCCCTGCAGGCACAAGCAACCAAGCACACCAAGCCTTCAGGTTCCTAACATCTCTTGGTACAACAAAACTTGATCATGGGACCCTCTAAATCCCAAACTTTGGGTGCAACACTTGTTTCGGGACGCTGGGGCGAAACACCGTGGCCTAACGGCCCGGTATGGGTACCTCTACCCCCCCTCTTCCATCCCAAAGGGAAGGCCCAAGCCCCTAGGAAGGGCGAGGACTAATGAGCCACAATGTACTCAAGTGGGGCACCACTCCACATAAGCCGGGAGCACCATAATCGGTTTCCCTTTCGGGAGTGGGAGCTGCTCTTGAGCACTTCCTTGGGTGGCCCCTCTGGCACCACCCGAGTCTATGCTCACTCCCACCCAAGGCCCCTCAACCTCAATCTCAACCTCAAGTTAGTTTAGAAGCACCACTGGAGAGTTCCTTCAAGATTGGTCCCTAGACCTCACTATCCTTACTATACTTTTGGAACCCCCTACAGCCCCCCCCCCCCCCCC